CCATGGATGGCTTCTTGAAACTCCCATTTCTTTCCCAGATTCCCCTCCCCCATTTCTATGGCAAGTTGAGCAGCAACAGAGGTTAGCAAGCATCTTAGCAATTCAACCTTGACAGATTTACACATTTTTTCAACCAGGATAAGATAGATAAGATTTTAAAAGGATAATGTAGGGAAACATGAAATTAATAAATAGACTCATATCTAATTAACCTCTCCCAGTATTTGGTAGATTTAGCAGGATAGAAATAAATGCATTTTAAGATGTACAGCTTCTGAAGAAACAGGACTTGACTTACCCTTCTTTACTCTAAACCAGGGGTCTTCTTTATGACTTGTGGACTTCAATTCCCATAATTCCTCAGCCAAGCATGCTGGAATTCTGGGGATTGAAGTCCACAAGTCATAAAAGGGCCAAGTTTGAAGACCCCTGCTCTAAACTACTGGTACTACAGCAGAATTTCTAAAAAGCATGACCAAGGTTAAGGTTATTTCAGTATTCCGAAAAGTTATAATCTTAATACATTCCAGAATTCCAAACTAAGAAAGTCTGGGGTAAAATAAATTGTGACTGGTATTTTCCCCCTTCACCATTTTGTCCACTTGTCTTCCATTTCCTGAAATTATCACTGAAGCAAAAGCAACTGTTTTTTCTACCTTGTCTTTTTTCCTCCCCATTTCTGTTGCCCTTTACTGTAGGAAAACAGCCAGCATTAGCCCAAAATATTTTGCTCTATGGGGGTCTTTGGAGTGGGACATCAAAGAAGCAGTGGCTGGAGCAGTCATTTCAGCCATGACAATACAAGTGGCTGACAGAGCTATAATCAAGAGAAACAAAGATAATATTAGCTATTTCTAAAGAATCATCAGTACTCACAATCACAAGAACTCCAGAAACAGCTTCAAGTGCAATAAGCTTGAAAAAAGACCAAAATTTGAAACATAGTATCATCAAAGGATTAGAACAACCAGTAATTCATGTTCTTTATTTTCAAACACAAAGACTGTGATTTTTAGAAGCTGAATAATCTAAATGCCTACATATGGGAACTAGTAAAAAGAACCAATAATTGTGGTGAATAATTCCTCAGTCCTTTTAGTTGTTATTGATAGTCTACTCATCACCTCGGATGTAGAACTTTGAAAATTCTTGTTTATTATGTATGACTGACTAGTGAAATATAATAATCAATGAATCTGAGAATGAGGAGTTAGTATTCTACATGGCAAGGAACAATTTGAAAAGAATAAAAACAGAAGTTAGCTAGATAGGCAAGCATTTTATTGAGGAAAAGGAAACAAATGGGCCAATTTTAATATTATAGAAGTGTTCCATCACTCATATAAACCAGAGCTTCCCAACCTTTCCAGCTTTGTGGCCCAGAAGGAAAAGGAGGAGCAGAGAAATGTGTTTGCGTGTGGCCTGCGCATACACATGCGCAAATGGGTGTGCGCTCATGGCAGCGCACTGACACCCACATGCATGTGTAAATAAACCACTGGTGCCTGCACAAATAGGCCACTGGCACCCACGCATGCACAAATGGGGCTGCTAGTGCCTGCGCAGTGGTGCTACCATGAGGGGGGGGGCTTGCCAACTATTACTGCGGCCTGGTGGCCAACAGGCCATGGCCTGGTACTGGGTCACAGACCATTCAATCTTGGAACAGACTTTTTCAGAATAGCCAGAATATTTGATGGTGTACATTTCGCATACCTCTTTTATATATTTGTATATAAATATATATACTGTTGTTGCTCAATGGAAATTATTAGACCACTTTTAATGAATTAGATATGCCATTGCTAGAAACCTGGATTTGAGCTCTCTGAAGCTGTTTTTATAGCACCACCCAGTGTGAATATGTATATATACACACATTGTTTTCCACCCAAAGAAGTTCACATACTTGACAGACCTTTTTATCAGTGTTATCACCCCAAATATAGAAATGGAAAGGGACTGAAGAGGAAGTCCCAAAGGTGCTTTTTAAAGAGGCAAGTAGATTTTCTTGTTTTTCTTTGAAGATGTTTCCCTTCTCATCCAAGAAGCTTCCTCAGCTCTGACTGGATGGTGAAGAATGGAAGGATTTATATTCCTTGCAGACAGCTGTCCATTTGTATTCTTTTAGAGAGTCTTTGAAGCCACTTGAAGGTTTGCCTACATCCTCAGGGTCACCTGAGTAGTGCAAATGGATGTGGACCCTTCTTGGAACTGCTGAAAGGACTGTGTTGTGGAGTTGTGCTTTCTGCAGGATGTTTTCTGCCCTGTGTCCCTTCACTGTTGAACACAGGTGCAGGCTGTTGGGGATGTTGCCTGCATCTCAAACTGAAGCGCAAATGGTTCCTGTAGTCTACTTCCATTCCCCACTATCCAGTCAGAGCTGAAAAAGCTTCTTGGATGAGAAGAAAACACCTTCAAAGAAAAACAAGAAAGTCCAGTTGCCTCTTGAAAAAGCACCTTTGAGACAACCGTGACCTGGATGACTGAGAATCTCCATAGACTGAAGAGGAAATGTAGGAAATTACTGAATTGTTGTTGTCCTTTTTTTAAAGAAAAGGAAGCCATACCATAAACCAATTTATAAATAGTCCTGTATGTTTATAGGCAAAAATATAAATATTTAATTATTTCAAAATGAGTTTGAAAACTATGTCATTTTGGAAATGTATAATACATGAAATAATGAAGGAAGCTTCATTATGTCCAATTCTGTCTTAAAATTACTCAGAAAAATATTACACACTTTTAAATTGGATACTTAATTCATTAAAGATTCCCAGTCATGCATATTTTAACTTGGAATTCCATTTTATATATTTAGTGTGCATAATAAACATATCCAGCATTTTTTTAGAGTAGTTTGGGCACATGAGGTTGCATATACAAGTTGGCTGTTCTCCCATTCTCAAATTATGCATGTTCTAATACTGTACAGATAGGATTGTTTTTGCATGCTTACAAAAGGTCCATTTAAATAGACCATCTTGCTTTAGTATTTCAATTATTTTGGGGGGAAAGATGGGGAAAGGTTGTGGGGAAAAGTCAGAATATGTTTATTTAAAATATTCAGTAGTATAAAATACATCGACATATGAATCTCAGCATTTATCTTGGGAGATCAGAATAGTGCATCATCACAATAATACTCTGATTTAATTGAGAAGATAAGTAGATCTTCAGCGTCTCTGTATCATATTTTGAATAATATTGAAAGGATGGTATATTGGTCATGTTTCAACTATAAATATGACACATTTCTTTGATTATCATTTATTTTATTTCGGGGTTTGAATCTATATCAGACCTAGTTCTGAGGTAACATTGACTGTTCATAATTACTTTCTGTGTTGAACTAGAAATAGGAATTTTGCAAACAGGTTATAGACATTTGTCATTGTTGAGTCAGTGTGCAGAATAAAATTTGTTGATTTCTTTTTAAAAAAAATCCATGTAAGTCTAAGTTAAAATTTTGCTACTTTTCGTGTTATATTTGCATCTTTAGATACAAATATGATTCATAAGGTTTATATTATGTATTTAGTGTCCATATATCTTTCAAAATAAGATGTTTAAAAACATTACATCTTTTAAAACTTTTATTTGCTAACTATTATCTTGTCATACATTTTAATGCCTTATTTAAGAAGAAGACAATTTTATTATTGTCTGGTTATACTCTATAAAGAAGGTGTAAGAAAACACAATTATATCTGAGTGACCAGGCACTCACGGTAAGTTTTTCTTGCTATGAAACTCTATGCTTTCATTGCCCATATCAGATTCCGATGTGATAGGAAGTTCATAATTGTGTGTATATATTTATGTCTATTCTGTTTTCTGCCACTTTGCTGAATATTCAGGTCAGCTGTTAATAACAAATAAAACTTTAATAAAAATACTAAATTAATTATGGACTGAAAATACCAAATGACTACTTATACCCACACAAGTCTATCAAGATTATGAGATTGTGAGTAGAAGAAACATAACACATGCTTGTTTTGATATGATTTGTTGAAAAGTTGGCTTAACTGTGTTTTCTTTTTGGGGGAAAAAAACTGAGCTTGGTGTCTAGGCCACCAAAGTATTAGGGTTTAATATTTTTTTTAAAAAAAAGTTAATTTAATTTTGAAAAATATTGTTTATCATGTTTTATTACAAGGTGTGTTAAATGAATTGCTTAATCTTGAAAAGCAACTCAAATATTTATTTAAAACAATTAAGTGTAAATTATAAAATATCAAGTTAATATTTCAGTGTAGATAGCATCCATAAAATCAGATATGTATATAACAGTAACTTTGAACATATATAAGAGGATGGATGGATGGATGGATGGGTGGGTGGGTGGGTGGGTGGGTGGATGGATAGATAGATAGATAGATAGATAGATAGATAGATAGATAGATAGATAGATAGATAGATAGATAGATAGATAGATAGATAGATAGATAGATAGATAGATAGATAGATAGATAATATAGATATTTTTTCTCCCATTCTTCTATTTAGCTGGGGATTCAGTCCAGTCTCTTCTTAAAAGCCTCCTGTGATGGGGCATGCAAAACTTCTGAAGGCACTGATTAATTCTTTTCAATATTATTATTAATATTAGAAAATGTTAATGTTTGATACAGCGAGTGGTGGGATTCAAATATATGAACAACCAGTTCTCTGTGTGGATGCTGCTTCTGGAAGTCCATTCTGGGTCTGGACAACAAAAAATTAGCTACTGGTTCTGCCAAAGTGGTGCAAACTGGCTGAATCCCACCACTGGATATAGCCATCAACAGTTGCCACATCAAAAATACAGTACCGTAGTTTGAAAAAGTATCTCAAATATATCAATCAATCAGAATAGAGCTGGAATGGACCTTGGAGGTCTTCTAGTCCAACCCCCTGCTCATGCAGGAGACCCTATATCATCTCAGACAAGTGAATGTCCAGTCTCTTCTTAAAAACCTACATCTTCAGAACTTTGGGATGTAATCCATCAGGTCCCGGTGATTTATATTCATCAAAATCAGATAGGTGTTCTCTAACCATTTTCTTGCTTATTTTAATTTTTATTTCTAATCTGTCTTTTACAGTTAGGTTTTTGGTAGGTTGGGCTATAATTTCTTTTTGCATAAAGACTGATGCAAAGAATGAGTTAAGCAGCTCTGCTTTCTCTCTAATGCCTGTTACTTCCTTGAAATCATCTCTCTTAAGTGTTTTTCTTGACTACTGTTTTTTTTTTTACTTTTTTCTTGTTATTTATATGTTGAAAGAAACTTTTTTTTATTATCTTTGACTTTTGTTCCAAGTTTTTATTCATTCTGAACCATTGTTTTCCTGACTTCATCTTTACAGATTTCGGCTATCTGCTGATACTCTGTCTTAGTTATGTGTCCCTCTTTCCATTTTTTGGTACTTGTCCTTTTTGTCTTTCAGTTTATCAAAGAGATCTTTGTGCAACCATGCTGGTTTCTTCTTGGATTTCTTGTTTTTATTTTTCAGTGGTATTGTGCTGGACTGGGCTTATATGATCATATTTTTTCTGAGTTTCCCATGCTTCTTGAGTTGTTTTCTTCTTTAAGATTTTCATGCATGGAATTTTTCTTAGGCTCTCTTTGAGTTTGTTGAAATCAGCTCTTTTAAAGTTTAAGACACTGGCTGCATTATGTTCTATTGCTTGTGTTTGCATTATATTGAATTCCAATATGATGTCACTCTTGCCCAAAGTTCCAGCAACTTCAACTCCTTCTATCACTTTTGCTCTATTAATAAGAATTAGGTCTAGTATAGCTTTTCCTCTAGTTCTGTCCTCCACCTTTTGGGTGACAAAATTGTCAGCTAGGTTGGTTAGGAATCTGTTTGATCTCCCACTTGCTGCAGAGTTTGTCTCCCAGTTGATATCAGGGTAGTTAAGGTCTCCCATTACTACTGTGGTATATTTCCTAGATACATTTGTTACTTGTTTAGCTATTTCTTCTGCTTGTTTGGGTGGCCTGTAGTATACACCTATAGCAATGTTATTCTTTTTTTCCTTTTATATTGACCCATATGGATTCTAGGAGGTTTTCATCCTTGGTTTTGTGGATTTCTGTAGAGATGTAATGACCTTTTATATATAATGCAACTCCACCTCCTTTTTTGTTAGGTGTGTTTCTTTTGAATAATTTGTATCCTTCCATCATTACATTCCAGTCATGAATTTCATCCCACCATGTTTCAGTAATCAAAACTCTATCATAGTTACCTTCATGTACTAGTATTTCAAGTTCACCCTGTTTGTTCCCTAAACTTGAGCATTCGTGTTTAGGCATTTAAGTCCTTCATGGTTGGGTATGTTTCTAATATCTCCTACTTTGTATCTGGGTTTTCCATCCTTTCCACCATTCTCTACTTCACTGTGTTTTTCCTTTTTTCTTCTTTCTCTTTACTCCCTGCCTCCTTATATGATTGGTAATCTATTGGTTTTTGCTTGGAATCAGGTTCTAAAAGCCTTGAAGATTGCCCCCCTCACCCTCTCAATTTTAGTTTAAAGCCCTTCTGATAAGATGAGCCAGTTGTTTTCCAAATATATTCTTTCCAGTTCTTGTGAGGTTCACTCCATTCCTTGCCAGTAGCCCTTCATGTAGATAATGCAGACTGTGGTCTAGGAAACCAAAGTTGTCTTGACAACACTAGTTTTTAAGTTTGTTTCTAAAATCTTTTGGATTTTAGCCTTTTGTTGGAAATATAGATGAAAATACCACCTGAGCTCTTAATTCTTTAACTTTCTTCCCTGGTTGATCGTAATCTCTTGTTATTGTTTTTAGATTCATTGTTGTGTCATTGGTCTCCATGTGTAGGAGAAAAAAGAAGTAGTAATCTGTGGAGTTGATTATTTTAGTAAGCTTCTCAGTTACATCTTTGATTTTTGCTCCAGGGAGAACACATACCTCCCTAGTTTGATTGTTTGGTCTGCAGACTATAGATTTTGTTCCCCAAAGAATTGAATCTCTTACCACCAACATTCGCCTTTTTTTCCTAGGGAAGTCTGGGATATTATTCTTCTTGTCACAGGAATGCTGGGTTCTGACTCCTTTATAGAAACATTTGATGACTGCTCTTTATAGGTGTCTGCATATTTTCTTCCAATGGGAGGCTATGAAAGCAATTGTTCAGTTCCAGAGGAGCTTCGCTGGAGTGGGCTAGGATAGATAGTAGGGGATTTATGCTTGGTTGCTGTTTTCTTCTAAAAGTGACATATTTCCATCTGTCTTCTTCTTCAGTATAATATATTCTTCAATAGAATGATTTCCAACAAGTGTCATAAAATGACATAATACCATCAAATAATGATGTGACAAAATAAAGATATTTTAAAAAGAATGAAGTTTTAGAATTAGACAAATCTTTATTAAAGCTATGTCAATTATTGCCGGTAATTCTATTATACATCAACATGCCAATATGGCATACCTTCCAAATTTAATAAAACAATTTCTCTAATCAACTGGATTTGTGTATAAATTTGGCTTTAATACAAATTATCACATTGCATCTTTTATTCTTTAAAATTGCATTACATTTCACTGCAGAATTCTAGGTGCATGTTTTCCTACTGTAGGTTATTTCTAGTTTCTAGATTTGAATCAGTATCATAATACTTTGGTATAGTGACATTTTAATAACTGCCAGCATTTGAGGGGTCCTTGGTGCTTTCTGAGCGTCCTTGTTTTATTGCAGACATTTCATTATCCTAACACGGTAACGTCATCAGTGCTAGTAAGGAGTGCTGTTTGCTGTCAGTTTATATTCTGGGGCGGTCTTAGGGATTCTTTGGTTGGGCTGTTTACCAATGGTTATTTGGCAGTTTTAGGATTTGGCCTGGTCTACGATTATCACATTTTCCCAGTTGACTGGAAGAACATATCCATGAACACCAACTGACAATCAAAAGGCATGACAAAAATTCTTTAATTTCACCACATATAGACAGATTTAACCATAGTTTCAATTGGGAAAATGTGACAATCCTAGACCAGGCCAAATCCAAAAATGCCAGGGAATTTCTAGAAGCCTGGCACTCTGACAAATCAGCCATCAATAGACACATAGACATTATCAACATCTATAGACTATGAAAAAGAAGCAATCAACCAGCCCAAAAGGGAACAAAAAGTCCCAAGCACCTCTCCACCAGTAATCAGCACTCAGATCAGCATAGATTAACTCCAAGGTCAACTTCAGAACAACAATCAAATAAGCAATACCCCAGTCAAGAAACTGCCAAAGAACCATTAGTAAACAGCCCAACCAAAGAATACCTAAGATCTCCCCCACCCACCCAGACAGGCAAGATACCAGAATATAAAATGACAGCAAACAGCACTTACTAGCACTGATGATGTTACCTATTTAGGGTAATGAAATGTCTGCAAAAAAACAAGCAAGCTCAGAGAACATAAAGGATCCTTCATTTCAACCCTGAGCTACAAATTATCTCCTTCACTGGTACTGCTAGCATTTGGTAGAAATGTTCATTTTCATCTTGTTAGGCTTCAAATTGCAATTTGTTTTTACAATAATTTAATATTCAGTGGTTTTCATAACATTATTAAATACCAAATAGATATTCATTTTAAATGTGAAATGTATTGTCAAGCCCTCCTGGGCTCGACATTCAAGAGTGGGAAGGTGGCAGGCCAGCACGGTGGAGGTGGAGGAAGAGCCAGCACCGGGTCCAGCACCGGGTCCAAAGCAGCTTACCGTCCGGACTCTGGCAGGGCATTGTTCGTGCCGTCAAACAGCTGACGGGAGGTTCCCTACAGCACGAGAAGCCACGCCTGCGCAAACAGAGGTCCCAGGAAGCCATGCCTGCGCAGAAGGAGGCTGTGGAAAGCCGCGCATGCACAGAAGACACTGGAGCCACCAAACAGCTGATGGGCGGAGGCTCGCCAAACAGCTGACGGCCAGACACACCGAAGAGCATTTAGGAGAATGGATGGGAACAGATTGACACTTTGCTTGCTGCTGGGTGCTGGTTGGGTGATAGGAGGGTGGGGTGTCTGATAATTGCTGGGTTGTGGTTTGTTGGGCGGGGGTGGGGTTGCTAAGTAATGGGGTAGAGGGTGGGGTAGCGTTAGCTCACATGTATTTAAGCAATGCTGGGAGGCGGTTGCTCCCAGCGCGAACTTTGTATGGCACAGAGCCTAATTACTATAGGTCTGTGTTGAGTCAATAATTTACCTTAAAGTAAACCGGAGCTGACTGAATCAAGGTGTCTTCATGTCTTCCTTTCTTCAAGATTCCGGTATGTTATAGAGTTTTTCTGTAAAATTTATCTCCCTCTTTTAATTTTTAGGTTCTTCCTGATTCCCTCCAGCATTCCCGTTATTAAAATAAATTATACCAGGAAAATGCTTAATTTGCTGAAAAGCATAGAGATAAAGTGAAATGGAAGGGTTGACAAGGAATGCAATAGTACAGTGGTGGCGAACCTATGGCACGCATGCCACAGATGGCACACAGAGCCCTCTCTGTGGGCATGCGCGCCGTCGCCCCAGTCCTAGGCCTTCAGCTGGGTTTTATAAAATCTTTTCGCTTTAGGTCTCCACCGCCGTGTGCAAAAAAAAAAGGTCCAATCAATCAATCAATTTCAACTTCTTGCAGGAAAAAAAAGATCTCACAAAGTTGGAATTAATTGATTGAACTTTTTAGTCCCACCCAGTCTGCCGTCACCACCGCAGCCACACCCACCCAATGGGCCACGCCCACCCGGCACCCGACGATACATAAGTGGGTTTTGGGTTGCAGTTTGGGCACTTGGTCTCTAAAAGGTTCACCATCACTGCAATAGTAGATACAACTTATGGAAAGAGTTCAACAAAACAAATTTATGGATTATTTTTTATGGAAGTTAAACTAGAACAAAATGACAGATACCACTGTCTTCAGGCCTACTTTAGAAATAGGTATGCATTTAAAGATCTTTCAAATACCAAATTTTATATAATATTGTTACTGCTTTAATTATGTAAAACTAATAGTCTATATATAAACT